TGTGTGTGTGTGTGTGTGTGTGTGTGTGTGTGTGTGTGTGTTGAAATTCTACTATGGTTCCCAGTTAGCTAGTATATCAAATCCAAACTCGGGGCATCATGACATCGGGGCATCCTTTGGTGGGCTCTTCTTACTGTGCCTAGCCATTAAATGTGTATGTTCTTTAGGGTTTGGTCTGAGGCCCTCCTATCTGTGTTTCTGACATCCTTCATTCTCTTATTTTCTTTTTGTTTCATTTATTCAACAAATATTTATTAAGCACTGATTTATTCTACATTACCAAACACTGTTTTAGACACTAGAATAATAATGGTGAACAAAACCCCCAAGCAATCAGCCATCATGGAGCTTACACTCTGGAGAAGTACAGAGTGTAAGTGTTTTGGGGTAGCACATCCATTCCCATGGCTCACATTATCCACATGCCAGTGAATCCCAGACCTTGAGAACTGCCCGATGCTGTATGGAAGACAGAAAAGCAAAATGGTTCCGGGTACGGGCTCTGGAGCCACGATGATTAGGCCCATAATCCAATGTCATCACTAACTAGTTACATGACCTTAGGCAATTCTGTTAGGGCTGCCATAACAAAATAACACAGACCAGGTGGCTGAAACAACACAAATGTATTTTCCCACACTTCTGGAGGCTAGAAGTCTGAGATCAAGGTGTAGGCAGGTCTGGTTTCTCCTGAGGCCCCTCACCTTAGCTTGCAAATGGCTACCTTCTCACTGTGTCCTCCTGTGGTGTTTTCTCTGTGGACAGGCATCCCTGGTGTTTCTTCTTATGAGGACACCAGTCATACTGAATTAGGACCCCACCTTTATGACCTCATTTAATCTTAATTACCTCTTAAAAGGCTCTGTCTCCAAATACAGTTGCCTTACTGGTTAGGGCTGCAACAGATAAATTTTGAAGGGACACAACTTAGTCCATAACAGCAATTTACTTAACCTTAAGCCTTGGTTTCCTGATCTGTAAGTTAAGAATAATAAAAATAAAAATGTAAAAAAGAAATTCACTAGGTAATTACAAAGATTGAGATGACCCAGGTAAAGTGCTAAGCATAATACGGAGTACTTAACAAATGTTAGCTGCTTATCAATAAGAGGTCAAACCCTCTCATGAGTATTAAGATTATTAAAACCTAAGAAAAACTGAAACCTATTCAGAGGTTTTGAAACTAAGAGTTTGGTTTCAAAAGACTAGACCACCACCAGATTATAAAGCCACAGGCATAGCCATTTGTCCAGAACATTCAGACACACAATGTTCTACCTAAGGGGGAATTTAATTCAAATATTAACAAGTGTGAAGGGAGAAAGGGAGATTGAGATGACAGGATTTTTTCTTTTCAAATATATGTTGAAAGAACAATAAAATGCTAAAAGCACGAAGTATTGAAAGTGAAATGAGAACAGCATAAAGAAAACAAACAAAATTACACATCAAAATCAGAAACAAGATCTTTGATCTCGACATAAGAAAATAGGTTAAAGTAGATAAATATGGCAGTTGAGTAAAAAGCTATTATTATGGGGTAATATAGAAACAGGTAAATCTGGACTCTAGGGAATCTGGATCTTAGGTATTTTAAGAATGAAATACGAAGTCCTATTTAAGAGTTAATCATAAAATCACAGTAGATTCATTTCAATTTCCAAAGCATTTTAAGCTGAAGTTGGTAAAATTGGCAACCTTAATGGAAATTAATCATTTAACCTGAAGCACAAAATCATAACAATAATGGTGTGTGTGTATGTGTACGTGTGTGTATGTGTGTGTGAGACTATGAGTGCTTGAGAACACAAACTATATCTTAATTGTTTTTGAATCCTTAGCATCTAAAACAAGAAACTCAGATCATAACAAGACAGAGGATTACTGAATGAATAAATGAATGAATGCATTAACAGAAAATCAAGTATAATTATTTATATCTGTGTTTTTGTAACCTAAAAAAAGATGGAAACATAACAGATAAGGAGGAAGAAGCATTTTTCCTTTAGACAAATAGTCCAGTATAAATTAATTATATTCACAAAGAAACTGAAATACCAAAGATTGGAAGTCAGCCTCTTATCATTATCCACAATAATGTCAAAAATATAATGTCTTCACTGATAATGAACAAAACCAAAATCTGCATGCTGATTTTCTAATACAAATCTTAAACTCGGTCTTACTTTCTTGAACTGATGACACTAATTGAGAATTCAATTATAAATGTCTGCTTAAAACTAATAAGTAATATGTCTCTTTAAACATTTTGACAAAACACTGGAGTCATCATCAACTATGCACTGTGATTATTAAAACCAGAGCTGCCTTTTAAAAAAACTGCAAGGGCTTCCCTGGTGGCGCAGTGGTTGAGAGTCCGCCTGCCGATGCAGGGGACACGGGTTCGTGCCCTGGTCAGGGAAGATCCCATATGCCGCGGAGCGGCTGGGCCCGTGAGCCATGGCCGCTGAGCCTGCGCGTCCGGAGCCTGTGCTCCGCAATGGGAGAGGCCACAACAGTGAGAGGCCTGCGTACTGGAAAAAAGAAAAAAAGAAACAAAAAACTGCAAAACATGGTCAACATAAATGTACTACAGTTACAGTTATGGTACAACATTAACAGTTTCCAACTGTTTTCCAAGCATCTGAAGCAGTAATGTGAATTTCTTCAATAAGGCTATAGTTTAATTTTTTCCAGGGAAATATTTTTAATAGGATTACTGACCCCTTTAACACTCTTGGAAAGAAAATGAATCCCATAAACATTCTGGCATATAACTATTATAAAAATAAATAGAACAATCAGTGGAAATGGTAATGTACTTGAGATACTAAACTTACTAAAGAAATGTACATAAGTATATGTGGTGATAGCCAGTTTAACACAGAAAAGATTCCACTTCATATCAGCAAAACAACCAAATACACTAAGACAAATGAAGGGCTGGAAAGAAGGAGAAAACTTTGAAGAAACAGCTTTCATGTCTTCCGTCAAACAGAACTAACAGAAAGAACACACTGACTGATCAATTCTGCTGGCTATCATTCAACTCTTAGGCTTGACCCTAAGTACTATTTGGCTTTTCAGAAGGTATTTAAATGTTTCTGGGGGAAAAAAGGACACTTACTGATTTAAGACATATTTTTCCACTCACAAATCTTTGTTGTAGGAGGAATTTTTTCAGGTCATTAGTTTATAATGTGAACTGGCGCCTAGGGACATTTTGAAAGGGAAGAAACTAGTGTGCTTGGAGATGCAGTTTATATGACTTGTGTCATCATTTATTTCAGCTCAGTTTGGGGCCTAAAACTGAACTCAAAATGAAGTCACCACATCTGCAACAGTTTCTCTCGGCATGGAATGAGCATACAGAAAATTGAAAAAAGAATTAGACCCCTTATCCCAAAAACAAAAACAGCATAACCTCCTTAGAATATCCAAGTCCTTGCAAGGAGTTCTTAGTCTTTCAGAGTACAAAAATAAAGTCCACCTTACAAATAAATTTCCGAAATAATCTGGATTATCAAAATGCCACTGGCACACCGAAATGCATTAATTCTGCCAGTTTTACCCTTGCTTCCACACCCTACCCCAGCCATTAATACTACCATGTTTGGCTCTGGAAAACATGGAACTAAATCATTAGGCTCAGAGAAAGCAAGCATCTTCCTAAATCCATGTGCATAGACCAAAAGATGATTTGGCCATTATCAAGATTAATTTGATCCACATATCATGTTAAAATAGATCATTCACAGCCCAAGTTAACAAGAATTTCCTAAATTTTCTGTTTCCCTGAAGTGTAAACAAAATAGATAATGATATTCCCACTACCTGGCACAATAAAAGAATCAGGTTGGAATCACTTTTCCTTTTCTTCATTATAACTACCCTTCTTTTACATTTCTTAAGGACACATGAACTATAACTTCAAATCATGAAGTCAGGTATCCTGAGACTGTCATGACCAGATGCACACTGGACTCCGCTTAAGAGCTGAGTCAACAGTCTCCCAAATGTGGATCCCATGATCCCATGATCCCAAGGTTGAGACCAAGAACTCAATGCCTACAGGAGCCACTTAAGTGAGGGAAGCAGGCAGGGTATACACAGGTTTTTCGAGTGTGTGAGAGCCAGAGAGTGTGTCAAACGAGGGAGGTCACATGGCAAGGGCTCCTGAACTCCAGCTGACATTGCCATCAGGGAAATAAGAGGTAACCGACCTTCTCACTTAATCAGAAAAAAAAAGCAAATCAAGATCTTTATGTAAAATTTCCAACTTATAACTGTTGGCTCAATAAAACAACAATACTGCATGAGGCAACCAAACACATCACAAGAAACACACAGCACGGGTTTGGCCTTTAGGGTTTTAGTTATCACTCCGGTCTAAAAGGTTGTTTCCATTCTACAGAAAACATAGCATCATCATCATCACAACAACAACAACGACAACAATAATACTAATACCTAGCCTTCATTAAGCATGTATGTGCTAGCCATTATGCTAACAGTTTTACATGGATTATCTCAAATAACCTTCATCAACCTTTAAGGTACTATTATTATCCCCTCTTTACTCAGTGACCTCCCCCCAAGGCAGAAAGTGGCTATGGCAGAATCCAAAAGTGTGCAGTGTAACTCCACACCCTACACTATGCTAGATTTCTTCAATGTTTTCAATATGCTTTTAAAAACCTCCACTTTTTTGCACTTGTGTTTCTTCAAAAATAAAACGAAGGGATTACTACTAAATGATTTCTCAAGTCCTCTTTAGTTCTCAAAGTCAATGGCTCTGACTCCATAATACAGCTCTTGATTGGATAAAAATGTTATTGACATGCATCAGTTGCAAACGCCCTGATGAGAATCACCTGATCAAAGAGATAGAATGAATGAATGCTCATTCAATAGTCTTTCTGAAAAAGACAGCAAAGACATAAAACTATAATAAAATTCATTGTCTCAACTGCTATAGAAAGTTTACTTCTCCATTTTACCTTTTGAAAGATGAGTGAAAGTGCTCAGAAATTCTTCATATGTTTGCTCGTGACAATTCACAAACTTGTCCAAGACTTCTTCAATGTGCCGATCTTCATCCATCACCTCCAGTTCTGGTACCTGGCAGGCATTCCTATTCATGAAGCCACTTTCTCTGTAAGACAAAGAAAAACATGAGCTACAGAGAGTTGTGCGGTACCAGCCTCTCCTAAAAATACTCCAGATGTGTAGGTAGAAGAATTCCAAGGCCCTAAAAGGACAAGTCAAGACAGTTAGTAGAGCAATAAACCCTAGTTCAAGAGACCAGAGTTTTATTCCTATCTCAACTGCTAAACTGTTAACTATCACAATTTTATTTTTGCTTCAGTTCCTCATTTCCATCTTCTTAATTCACAGGAATATCACCACAGTTACACAATTAGAAACCCAAAATCTTTCAAGGTAAGGTGAACTTCAAAGAATATGTCAAACAACCACCCTTCCAATGACAACAATAGTGGCTCACATTTATTAGTTCCTTTTGAGCACATATTAGGTAACAGGTGCTGTTCCGAGCACTTCATAACAATTCTAGCTCAGATCACAGAGCCAGTAGGCAGAAGTGTCAGTTCTAGAAGTGTGATCCTAGAACCCATGCCCTTAAGTACTTCACTATGTTTCTCTAACCATTGCATGACACACACATACCCCTCCATACTATTGTACTATTGCTGCCGAACAGCTGACTTGTCTGTGCTCTAACACATCCAGACACTGGGAACTCTGAATGTTCCAAAGAAGCCTTTGGACAGCTCTATTAAAGCCTCCTTCTAAGACTGAGCCTAAATCTGTCTCCCTGTACCCTACCCCAACTGGTCCTGAGTCCCTGGATGGGACTGAATAATTTCAATCCTTTTTATCTGTGATATCCTTTCAAATATTTGAACAAGCCTATACTGTCCTTTCTCAATCTTCTCATTTCATTCACTTCATTTCTTTTTCAAAACCCAGTTCAGAATTCAGTTTCTCTTTGAAAGCTTCAGCTTCCCATCTCCCATCATCACAGGAAGAGCAAATCATAATTTCTGTGCTGCCTCTTTATAAGCGGTGTCTACTGTTCCACTTATCACATTGTATTGTAAATAGTTGTATACATTTCTGTGTCCTCTGTTAGACTTAAAGCCCGTGAAAGGCAGGGTCCATGTCTTTTCATAGCTCAGGAGGTGGCATAGAGCTGGCAGTCCATCAGTCTTAAGCTAAACTTATGCATTTGAGCAGGTACTATAGTCAGATATTGCTAGAAGCTGGCAAAAGACTCAACTAAACCTGCCCAATCACTATATCTGTACCTTGTATGACATGGCTTTGGGTCCTTTCACCCTTTTGATCAATCTACCTGGAAAAGATTTCACAGTGCCTGCATCCCTTTAAAATATGCCATCCAGAAATGAAGACAAGACTCCAGGTATGGTCTGGAGACACTGAGATTTGACTAACTCTCACGTTCCAAATGTTACACTCCTGCTTTATACCTGAAGATCACGTTCACATGCTAGTGCCGCTTCACATGGTCGGCTCATTCATTGACTGCTTCGCTAACTAAATGCTTGTCAGCTAAGACACAACGCCTCAATCCCTGCGGAGTTTGAACTTTGTTTTTGGTTGTGATATTTCATCTTGTTAAATTCCATTCATTCTGTGTGAAACATGATTCTTACACAGCTTTGAGAAAAAATGACTATCTACACAAAGCAGAAGAATAATGACAGCCTAAGCACCCAGTGTAATTCATGGGGGATAATAAAAAGGAGGGGTTCTCTGATACTGTATAGACACCATGTTCTTCTATTTTTCCAAAACAAGGGTGAAAATCTGGTGTCTGTTATTAACTTTATTTGGTATTTACCAAAAAGCTCAGAAAAAAAATAATAAAACAAAAATGTATTCATAAGATGATACCCAAAGTCACCTAGTGGCAAGACCTGACCTGAATTAATATGAAAGTGTTTATGACTTTTATTTATTCTGTTTAAATAGTATAACTATTCATATGCTTCCCTGAAAAAATACTAATGGGCTTGCTTTTGAGGTGCTTTCCTGATCTCACTGGAGATTTTCTGTAATACGTGGCATTTGCCCTGATTACCTTTCTAAACTCCAAAAACTTCTGAATTCTGAAAGACATCTGACCCCAAGGGTTTTAAACTGGAATTGCGAAGCTACAAGAACCTCCCAAGATTGCTATGAGGATTAGATGAATATACATGGGGCCTCAAGAAATGTTAGCTGTGATGACGATGATGATGATAATGGATCACTCTTAGTACTCTGTCCTTTGTCTACATGAAGACATGTTTTGACTGTGACCCCTTTGACTTTGAAGGTACTAATATTACCCAAAGATCAATCAGGAGAATTCGTGATGCATTACAACCCTAGATAAAACATGGTATTGTAGAAGTCCAAGTGAAAATAAAAAGTGTAGCTATGTGCCAACCCAAAGTGAAAGAAACTGTTTCAAGCTATTTGTACCTGAAAATTAGATATAGGAAAAAGCACCAGTTACAGTGTATGCAAATTTACCTATAATACTGCCAGGCTTCAGCAACCCATAGTTTAATATATTATGCTTTCAGTTGCTAAATAATAAATAATGATAAATTCAAAGGTGGCTATTATTTTACTATCAGTAGGACGTGTACTTCATTACAAACACTTCTGCTCTTCCAGAAGTGCATCCCAGCAAGATTCCAACACTATACTATATCAATCTCTTTCTCAAGGCTTCTCAGGTAATCTACTTCTACAGGCAAAATATCAAACAGAAGCAGCCAGGTTGTGTTTTATATTGCTGTAAATGCCTTCTCGTGGATGCTTTAAGGGTGATAACAGAAATTCCTCTAAACTTCCTTTGCAATTCTCAAATTGGTGTATTTTGAGTATGTAGCCTTAACACATCTCAGCTTTACTAAAAGGCAAACAGTCAACAGGCTGTACACAGCACAAATTCAGAATCTTTCAATGCCTTTAATTTTATTCTTGTGGTTACCAGAATACAGGAGAGGTTATGTTTTTACTGACTTTTTAAAGACTTTTGGAAAATCCAGTTTTACAAGCTGTCATTGTTTAGAGAGTTTAAAAGATACCCACCTTCAAATTTAGAACTTTCCTTATCTATAAAAATATAAATAACCTCATGTTAAAAGTCCCCAGAGACTGACAGAGCAGATAATCATTTACCAGACTGTCAAGTGGTTTATGCAAATCCTAGTGGTTTTCTAGAAGGAAGCAATGCTTTTTCAGTTACCGTTCACATTAGTTTGTGTTTTTACCATAAAGTACTTTTCTAAAACAGAAAAAGGAAGAGAGAGACACACATGCTTGGACAACAGGATTCTTTGTTTTGGTTTGGTGTTTTGTTTTAAGGCTTAAAGCTCCACATAAAAGACCCAGAGCATATTGTGATGATAACTAAAACTAAATGTATAACAACGCCCACTGGTAAATCAGAAGTAACACTTTCACAGTCACAGCACCCAGAAGAACCACTGGGAGGATGTATTGCTCTGCTTTGACTACTGAATTTCACAGGGAGACCACAAGCTTCCTTAGGAACATGGCTCTCTTCTTACTGAGTCACTGGGAGCTAGCAAGAAAGTCACATAACCTTCCTGGAGTCCCCTTTCTTACTACCAAATAACGAAACTAACGACCACTCAAGCCGGTTAGTGTCACCTGCTCTCTGAAAGGACATGTAACTAGATGAGGCTGGTACTGAACCCAAGTTTGACTGCTCACTGCTGGGAAGACCAATACTTGAGACACAAGTGTTGGTGAAAACGGAAAAGTTGCTTTATTCAGGAGCTGATGCCATGGCTATAATTCCCCACTGTCAACCCTTCACTCCACTGCTATGGAATAGCAGGGACGTCTGTCTTTTGTAACTTTTTCTAGGAGAGAGCAAAAGCAATGGTTGCAACATTGTATTATGTACTCAGAGCCTCCGTGATGGTTTAGGAGTTTCAGTTTTTAATTGATCCTGGCGTGTCATCAAGTTCAGGTCCACTTGGGGCCAGCTGGTTGAACCCACAGGACATTATCTCCGACAGTCTGGGGTCATAAATCAAGGCACTGGTTTAAGATAACAATCATGAAAAAAATTAAGTTGGGCTTGTACTTCCTTTGTTTGTAAACTCCCTCACTTCCCTAGTTAGTAGCTGTTTGAATCTGCTCTTTGGAACTCAGGGAAGATCTAGGAGACTAGAGCCTTTTTACAAACAAGAGGCAGGCAGAGGACATGGGGTGGGGAGGGGGGTGTCTGTCCCAGGAAGGTCCCTGTAAAGGGTACCTGCTCCTTTACAGACATTATTATAAAATTCGGTATGTGGAATTATCACCATCGCTGTAGCATATCTTTGATGCTTATCTTCACATCCCTGCTTCATGAGACTTAGCTAAACAAAACACAACTGTCAGAGACGAGCGTGATAAGCCTTAAGAAACAAGTCACCCTGAGCTAGTGTCCCCTCTCAAAGTACATAACCTGCTTTCTAACAGCACAGAAAGGTGTAAGTCTGCAAAAAGGTTTGTTTGTGTTTTTTTAAATTGTGAGGTTTACCACTGATGCTTGAAAGTAATAAATAATAACACATTTTTAAAGAGTTGTGCAGGGGCTATCAAAGCCCACATTCTCAAATTCTCATAGTTCTTCTTCATAAGAAGCTCCTGCTGTGTGAAACGTAAAATGGGATATTTTAAAAAGAATTCATCTAGCCTGAGGAATGAAACCATCAACCTTGAGACTTCAAAGGCTAGGTTTCCTTTTATACTTTGGAAAATGGACAAATCTCAAAAGACCAAATTATACTGTACGGGTATAGATTTATTGACATGATAGAAGAGACTCGGTGTGAACTGATGGCTTCTGCCTTGACTGAACAACAACTATTTTGCATCCTATAATACTTTTTATGTCGTTTAGATCATATTAAGGAGTACGAAACCCAAGGACAGAAATTGCCAAAGATTCTCAGAGTTGAGAGAAATCTAAAGGTCATCTAGTCCAATCACAGAGAACAAATAAAGGAATCTGGTAAAGAAACTGTAAGTGAGGTTTTTGTCAACTAATGACTCTACTGATGAGCAGTATTATGTGGTTCTCGTATCATAAACAGT